TGCATGCGTGCGTGCGCGTGCGTGCGTGTGTGATTACGACGCATAAAAGTGCCATGCAAATGCAACCCTTAGCCGTTGCTTTTTTGAGTTTTCATGCTTTTCTAGCATTCTAGCCATCTCGGCAAATGCTTTTTCGGGGCCAAATCCCGCCACCTCTTTTCATGCGCATCTTGGGCTATTGCTCCCATCAAGAAAAAAACCTGCTCTGAGACGACCCGGACCTCGTAGACCAGCTTCCGCTTATCCACGTTGCCGCCGTCGCCCGCTTGCTGGGCCTGAACCTCCTCTTGGCATTCCTCCTTCGAGTTCCGCTCGCCTCCATGCTGCAAGGCAAGCGAATCACAAGCTGGGGCTACCCATAGCCGGGCCAGGCCCCCTACCGGAGGCATTGGATTCTCCATCGCTGTCTGCGATCCTTGCTCAGATCTGGTGTCAGCTGAAGTCAGAGAGAACAAACTTCGCAGAATGGGTATCGTTGATATCGTGTCCTTGCTTCCTTCTCGCTTTGCAAACATCGCTCGGCGTGCTCGCGCGCGTCGTCCTTGATATCTTCGGCATTCTCCTGACTGGAAGCCCCGGAATTTTACCAGCAAACCTATGCAGGGCGCAGAGGGCGATCTCCTCTTTCCACCTGTCGACCTGCAAGGTGAGATTCAAGATAAACGAAGGTCCAAGAGGTTGCAGTCCGGTTAGAGTTGGATTTATCTACGGCGATGTACCTGGTCCAGCATCGCAACACTTTCTGAGCCAGCCTGCTGCTGCATTCGTTGTTCAGTCGTCACCACTGGGTCAGTGGTATCCGTGAACTTGTCCTTGCACAAACTCTCGCACAGGCATGCATGAATGCATGCATGTACAGAGGGCGCATCCATGACTGCTGTGCTCCTCAACTCTCATGGCATCTCGCTCTCGCTTCTCCCGGCGGACGCTTTCAATCATCTCCTCTGGAAATTAAACATGTCGGCCATGGTCATGGTGTAAGCGACACTTCTTCTCTCCACGCCTGAAATGCCTTCATGTTGCGCTCATGCTTTGAATTTTCTTCCTTAGAGCTGGATTCGCTCCAACTGAGATTTGCTCAACTTGTGGGAGCGGCGCCTCCTTGATTCTGCGACGCTCGGCCCTTTCCTCCTCCAGGCCTGCCAAGATCTGCCAGTGCTGGCCCAAGCAGATTGAAAAACCTACCCTTAAGCCAGCCACTGAGGCCGGCTGCACGGCACCGCTGAGTTTGCACACGCTGTCCAAAGCCCGCAATTGCTGCTTACGAGGAGCCCACCTCCGCGATTGAATGCATCTGCAGCTCGCCTGTCCTCACCGAAACCGATTGAAGAGGCTGCAAATGTTGGATGACATTGACACCATCCCACCAACCAGCGCCATTCACGCCTCCCACCCGTCTATCTGCATCCCGCAACACATACCTACTTATCCTTTGGGGCAAACGGATTGGTTCAAGAAAGTCGGTGCTCGCAGGGTCACTTCCAGGTGTTATTATGCATATTAGAAACGTAGGAAAACCATGCGCATGGTTTTGGGCCTTCGAAACTGTTGCGATGTGGTTTTGCAGATGTGTCTTTGAAGGATTCGGGAGGTCGAATTCTGGAGCTATTAGTTTCGAAATGACAATGCTTCGATGAATTGCGCATCGCGGAAAGCCTGGTTTTACGGATTTGTTTCCGGTACCGTGCCAAGCCGAGACAGGAAGTCTGTTTGCTCGAAGCACTCCCATTTCGAAACCAGGAACTCCAGACTTCGACCTCCCGAATCCATCCTTCAAAACCGCAACTGCAAAACCACATCACAACGTTTCCCGTTTAGTTCATACAACACTACTTTTTGGCGAATGCCCCAGTTCATCGCGCCTGCCAGCATTTTCCCGGGTTTCTGACTACCATCATCGTCGTAGTGATTCCAAGCTTGCACATCTCCCCCTCCCCACCCGCCACCACGAAACCAATAGGAGAATCGTTGGCATTCCTGCCTGAGGCACCCTTCTCCTTCTACCATAGAACTAAACGCTCGCATGGAACGGTCATCCAGGGTGCAGCATCGCATCGGATCACTTGGCTCAGGCACCAAAAGATTCGAGATTCGACCTTGGGGGAAGCTGAAACCAACGCTTCCTGTAACCATCGGGGTCTGCCTCCTTGAGTCGTGTAGAACGGGCTTAACATCCTGTCCAATGGCACCCGCCTTGATGAATGATGTAATCGACCTGCAAAATTACTGAAAATGTAAGGCGAAGGAGTTGCCAATGCCAGCATGCTTGCTGTCCTTAGACACCTACTTCAGTTCTTCCGCCTCAAACAATCATTCGAAAGTGCTTCGAAGAGAGCGCTGCAGTCAATCCCAGTCAGTTCGACGAAGACACAGCTGAAGCGAAGTAAACAACCAACTGCTCAAGATTGCTCTTACTGACGTTGTTGTGACTCTGCCGGCCAGCAGATGCCAGCAGCACGGCCGGCCAAGATATGTTGCTGTTACTGAAATAAGAGCAATGAGAATGAGATCTATTGAGCAGCTGTGACATAACAGCTGCCGCAGCTCCTCAGGAAAGACTGGTCGGTCATCAAGATACCTCAGTGAGGTCGCTGCATGCACACGGTTGCTGCAGGTCCTCTGAAGAAGAATTCGACGGGTCACTTCAAGTTCTGGCACACTGCGGTGATGCCCTTGCGATAGTTCGGAATCTTCTTGGCGCAAGGATTGCCCTTGAGGTACAGGACGCGCAGGTCAGCCATGCGCGTGAAAACCTTGCTTCGTTATGAGCTTCAGGCATGGGTGTGGCATCCCTGCATGTCAATGTGGCTGCGGCTGCCTCCGGCAATATGTCTGGGTCCCAAATTTTGTTGTCTTGTAGATCCAGTGTAGAGATGGTCGTGTCCACTAGGTGCACCACATCTTCCACACCTGCTGTCGGAATTCTGGATCCAAAAGTTCTTAAGATGGTCATCAGTCCTGCAAATCCGATCTTGTTCTTCTGGATCGTGAGGGTGTTCAAGGATTTTAACTGCGAGAGGCCTTCAATTCCTCAAGCAACGAGTCCCAAACCAGACGGCAGCCCACCAAGGCTCACTGAGTTGATTCTCAGGTGCTGACGTTCGATGAAGTTGCTACTCAAGTTGAGATTCCAGAGCAAGGGGCAGCACTCGAGTCCTTCGATCCTGACAAGTTGTAAATCTGCAAGAACTCGTACATGGATTCCACCACACTGGGGTCACGGCCTGTGAATGCAATTCTCCTGTAAGGCTACGCTTGTCACTGACATGATACCCCGAGGGCATCCCGAAGAGCCACGTGAAATATGAGCCCAACGAGCTTAACACAAATGTCCTGGAGGAAAAGGCTGCGCAGGTTCCGGCACTGTGAAAGGCCACTGATGCGGTCGAAAGCATTGCACTCAGCGTACAACGCTTTCAGGCCAGTCCTGACGTCGAACACAAGCCCAAGACACTCGGCATCGTGCACAGAGTTGGCAGTCCAGCCCTCCAAGTTCTTGATTTCTTTCCATCCCTGCGCAGAAGCATGACACTAGCCCAGCTTCGAACTGAAAGGGTGCGGGACAGAGGCCTTGTAATGGATGAACAGCTTATCATTCAAGTCTTCGGAGCGATAGTACATCCGCCTGTCCTCAAACACAATGTGTGCAGCTCTCGCTCCGGAGATGCAGAAAGGGCCGACGTCAGTTAAAGCCCCAAAAGATCCGGGCACTGTCGATGATCTTTTTGAGCTCTTGTTTTGACATGTCGGTTGCGCCAAAGCCAAGCCGCACCTGGACACGATGATGCAGGGTGTGCAGCCGGTATGGATGATCACCCCACCTCCTCCTCGTGCTTCGCACGTGCTTCGCGGAACTCAGCCTCTTTGGCTGCCTCGCGCTTCAGCACCTGACAAGCTTTCTGAAATAGTTGTTTTCCAAGCAGAGCAAACAGCTGGGGCACGAACACTTGCATGCAAGGCCCGGTCCAGCTCTGTTGCCGACATATCCTAGCAAATATCTTCACCCAAATCTGCACATCGAGGAACCTCGAAGAACCAAGTGCTTTCAGCATCACCATTCCCCGCCCCAATTTGCTAGCTGGGCCAGACAGTGCACAAAGTGCGCGACACCTACGTACCGAATCCGATGACACCCGACAACCACCATGAAAGCTGAGCCCGGTGTAGATGATGGTTTGGCTGTCTTGCCAATAAAAGCACTCACAGCGAACACCAGCGAAAGTAACAACAGCAAGTAACGCGCGGGCTCACAACACTCGCCGAAACGCACTGCTGTTTCTCTCGTCCGGAGTCCATGATACACCTTCGGTGCCACGTAACGACAAGGGGCCTCTTGCTTGGGGACTCAGTCAGCGCAACTGATTGTTGCACATGACTGAATGGCTTTGCTGACCAGACACAGCTGTTAATGACCACCAGATGAGCCAAAAAATCCTTCAGCGGTGAGCTGCCTTGATCCATTTCTATTGCTTCAGGGCATTTCCAAGGTAGTCGTCGACAGCACCGTTATGGCCCGGCACCATGGAGTCACAACTTCGTCCTACGGCGAACCTTGCCCAACACTGGTAGCCAATATTCGTGTTCCGCAGGAACCCTCGAAAGCCGATCGGCAACTTTCTAGTCAGAACTCTTGTGCACGAAGAGTTCGTTGAAGCGTTCATCGATTGCGGGCATTCCTGGGGCTGGAGGTCCTCAGAGGCTGGCGCACATGCTAAACCCGCTAAAAACGACGCAAGCGTCATGGGACCATGTCCTTCACCGAGCGACCGACCAGACCCACCGGCGTCTCCACTTCCTCTCGTGAGCTTCAAGCGATGGACGAGCTCATCTCGGGCGTCTGTGCGGATGGTGGCGGCAGGCATGACTTCCACCGACTTGGGAATGGTTCACCAAAGTAGGTTGGCAAGGGCAAAATCGAGCCTACGAATGAGGCATGGGTAGTTTTTTTCCAGTTCGGTGCGAGAGGGTCTTGTACAGACGCACGCCTAGCAGAAGCGAATTCAAGGGTGAAACGGGCAGAAACTCACGCCGGTGATCGAAGGCCGAGGCCATCGCACTCAAAGCCGAGCGCCCGAAACCAGGGCAGGAGGACTGGTAGCGGAGCCCAAAGTCCAGGGCATGTCAAGGCGACAGGCTGAGTGGCGGCAGCAGAGGCACATTGAGGGGGCGGCTCCAGTTGCCAAGAACGCGTCGTACCTGAGAGGCTGAAGCAAAAGTGCTGACGGGAGGCTCCACGTAGGGACCTGGTATGGGTCCCCGCGAGCGTGCACCACATCTTCTCACTGCACTCGTTAAGCTGGTCCAGCTCCGCGAGGAGTGCGTGGGACAAAGAAGGGTCCCAGGGCGACGGTACCTCACAACGCAACCCCGCAACAGGCTCCGGGGGTGCCATGAGATGCGAGGAGGGAGGGGCCTCTTGATCCGGCTTAAAGGAACCCCATTGTGCAGCACAGCGTGGTACCACCGCAAGGTGGCGACGAAGTCGCCCAATGCTGCCATAAGAGCGTCCACAACTGAGGCATACTGGGGTGGAGCCCAGCAAGAAGGCCCTGCTTCGGTACCCATGGGCCCGAGCAGCATGCCCAGCCCAAGCTTTTCGTGAAGCAAATGCCTCGCGACACGGAAGGCATAGGTCAGTGAACCGCCCCATTGTTGGGGTATGGGCACAGGTTGTCGGAGTGGTAAGGGTACACAGTCCTCGGTGGAGACCGTCAAGAGCTGCTACAATGGACGTCCTGCACATCTCCAGGTGGCAAACTCTTTTAAGGTATCCTTTGAAACTCCCGGGCGTAGCTCGCATGCAATGACGCCAGGCTGGCCAATAGGCATGGGTAGTGGAACACATGTCTCCATTGTCGATCGATCGCGTACCCACAGCAAAGGAATGGTCGACACTTGTGTTCGTGACAGCGGGAGACCAAACGCTCGGCAATCGACCTCGCACTTGTAGCGACTTGACTGGAGGTATGCTATCTCTTGTTGCTGGACCGGAATGTGCGCAAGGCAGGAAGCGTAACATGCTAATGAAAACTGCAAAGGAAGACCATGTCTTCCAATGATGCCACGGTCCAAACTATTCTGGAGTCCGAAGATCTGAAACTTTCGACCATGGAGATGTACGGCGCTGGTCACCAAGATGATCCGCCGCACAGAAAGAGGGCCCCTTGGCTTGAGCACAAGTCAGCACAGGGTAAGGATGCATTGTTTTTGATTGTCGTTGTGGGGTCGCGCCTCGGGGACGACAGAAAAATTTTAAATAAACAGAACACGCCCCTGCACGACAGCAAAAACATTCACGCTCCGGGGACAACAGCAAACAAAAAAAAGCGCGTCCCCGCGACAGCAAACACCAAAAAAAAACGCGCTCTTGAATGTTTCGGGGGCGCGTTTGCTTTTTGGCTGTCGTTGCGGGGACCAGTTTGTTGTTTTGTTGTCCCCGGGGCTTTTTTTTGTTGGTCGTTGCGGGGGCGTTTTTTTTGCTGTCGTCCCGGGCCGGCGTTCACTCACTCACTGGCTTCCTGGGTTTGTGCACAGACAGCAAAAAACAACTACAGCAAAAAAACACGGGTTCCGTCAGCACAGTTGACTGCTGCACCTGACGGATCTGCGCACGACCGAAATGCGATTCCAGGGACTCTTAGATGACCTGGCACAGTGCCCAGATGAATTCATGTTCTGGACAAAAGTACAATGATGTGCACATTGTATTTGCTCCGGCTGAACTCGCCTTCTTCACGAAAGGCGCACCGGCTTGGAGCGTGAAATCCACGGGCACGGCCCAGCGCAAATATGGGCCAACTTTGAACAAAGGTCGCCTCTCTCTTGCGTGAGAGCCTCCAACTCCCGCCACAACCCTTTTGAGCGAATCGCGATTTTATAATTCGGAAGGGACCTCGTAGGCCAATTCAACTCAAAACTGCAACATAGTCCAACACTAGGGAGCAGTGACTTTAGCAGTACACAAAACGTAATTTGATCAGCTGATGGTAGTTTCCCCAATTTTTACTGCTCTGGAACTCCTCGAAACATTAACAGTCCTCTTGATGTTCTCAGAGTCACTCGATCGTCGGGTTTGCTGCGAAAGCCCACCCCAGTCAAGCAATTCCGGCAGGTCCACACCAGTACCATCCACTACTTGCTCCATAAACAACACCGTGAGTTGAGACTCTGATCTTCTTCAACGTTGTAAGATGGACCCAAATCCAGCAAACTGTGTGGCTCCAGCTCTCGAGAATCGTGTCCTGGAGAGCACCTTGGAAGCGGCTGGAAGCCGCAAACGTTGTAAACTGAGTCTAGATGTCGCCAACAGGTCGTATCATCCTTGCTTGCAGTAGTGCTAACAGGGCGTGCTGCAGTGGCAAACCGATTGGCCGAAGCGCTGTCGATTCTTCAAGCAAACACTTCACCACATGAATGTCGGTTGCAGAATGAGCCGAATTAGCTATGCAAAGCCAAGCGTCAAGCAGCTTTTACAAGCAGCTTTTACTCAGTGGGGCTACAAGTCAACTACAATCCGGAAACAATTCCACTCGCATCGAAATCTGCTGTGTCGATCTGCCGATCCCTTTGTCTAAGCTCTCAGTCACATGGAAACATGGTACAAGGTCGGGTCGGTGACACGAAGGAAACCAGACAGCCGGATCAAGCGCAGATCCATGAAGGCGTCGCATTGAGATCCTCTAAAGCCGCTAGCAGGTTCTCCGAGTTTCTCAGAGCAAAATTGAGCAGATTCCAAATTGACAAGCAATTGCGCTTGTGTAAAGATGTGGGAGCTATCTATGCCTTGGGCATCCCACCTGCACAAAAATGCCAGAGTCTTTGGCTGACGAACTGCAGGAAAACAGGCAGTGCCAGCTGGTGCACAGGACACAGAGGAGAATCTGGGCATCTGTGAACATTACATTTAATCTTGGGGCAAAGGCATGGGGCATCTCGTAACACGAAATGGATAAGTCTGCCTGGGCTGAGATGTCCCATCTAGGTAGGATCTAGGCTTCCTTGATTGCGCGACTCGCAATTCTTGCATAGCAGCGACCCAAAATCTCTCCAATTCTCATCCTCGGAGGAGTCAACTGGCGAAAGCCGTGGTGACAAAACGGCTTCTATGAGAAGCCTTCCGGCCGAGTGCCGAGCTACCTATCAGCTATGCCCATCAAGCAAAATGCAGAGCCCTGCTGAAATGGAAAACAACGATTCAAATCGGATCTCGTCTGTTCGCGGAGGTTGCTGACCTGCGCTTGCTTATGTTGGACACAAGGACAACCTGCACTGTCGACTGCACGTTCTGAACAGGAGTGCAACATCGACTCGATGGCAGAAAGCTGTAGACTTGTTGCAGTTGGCTTGCATGGGCCAGGACTGTAGACTTGCACAGCCAACCACGCACCGATCGGACATGATCGGACTGTTTTCGCGACATGTTGCTGACCCGAATGCTGCCATCAACAACAGGAATCCCGCTCGGTGGATTTGGGTCTCATATAGCTGTTGTCGCGAGCACTCAATCTATGACCCCTGCATTTCTGCACAATCGAAGGCAATGTCTCCTCGAGTTATTGTATCAAAACCCACATCCACCAGAGGCTCTGTGGAAGAGAGTCATCTTGTAGTGTGACGATCTTCTTAAAATTGTTTCGCCATGCTGCACTGGCTCTGTCGTGCATGCTTGTTGTTTGGTACACTGTGCTCCCATAGATACGCTGTTTGGTTAATGCTGGCATAATTGAATACGAAGACCCTGCTATGTCGATTGTGCCCACCAGAATCACATGCGCAACAGAGGCCTTCTTCTGAAGAGTTCACGGTGTGCTCGTTCCCTGCCGAAGAAGTGGTGGCCCCAAAGACACATTCAACATTTTGACAATTTGGGCTTCGGAAGCCCTTCGGTGGCGGTGCCTAGTCTCTGAAAGTATTCCGCTGAGATCTTTCAAGGCAAGCAGACCCTCCCGACAAACGAAGCCGGAAGATTGAGATTAACCTCGTACTCTTTCATTCCCGTAAAAGTCTATAACTTACGGATGCAAGGAGGAGGCAAGTGCGCCTCCGTAGCCTTTTTCGTGCTTTTCTCCTTCATGCGTCTTTTCTTTTCACCTCGGAACTGTGCAGCAGAGAGCTACTGACTCTTGCCAGGCTACTGCCATGCCTGGTGGGCAAAGATGGCAGAAGGTACATTGGCTGCCACTGTCACAACCCTGCAGATGCTCGGCAATTAAATGGCATGCAGCTCTGACATCCTCAGACGGCTTGCTTTCACTGCCACAAGCCTTCTTGAAGACGAAGGCACATGGCCTACAAGTGCCCTCGGCATGACCCACGGATCCAACCTAGCAACAGAAATCCGCAAGAAGGAGTTGCAAGATCCATGCCGAGGAGCAGGCAGATGGCAGATGGTCCTGCAAATTTCACCATTTCAAGCGACTGAGAAGTGCTGCAAAGTCTGGCACCCGCGTCAGCGTGGGGAGGATCAACAGTGGCGGCTGCGGAGCCTCGTGTTCCAGTGGCAGCGATGGCTCTTGTAGCGGAGGTGGCGGCGCTGACACCTCTGACAATGCCGAAAACCCGCCATTGGGGTTCGCAAGAGCCAGGGGAGTCTTCCTTGCCCGGCCTCTTTGAACCCTGGTGCCTCAAGCTCTGGCGGTGCGACAGGCGGCGAAGAGACATGCGGAATGGAAAGCGATGCCACGTTCGATGATTTGGGCGTACCGCTGACTGCCTGCGGGGGCTGCTATTGGTCATCTGAATACAACATCACGGATCATTGAAGGAGGTGCCTGGAAAGCACGGGGTGGCAGCTGGAGTTGGGGCTGTTGCTGCACAGGCAACCTTGGCTTGAGTGCAGGATTCAGGGCACCTCTGTCGGAAAATGGCAGAGCGACCACACCGCGGCGATGATGCAGATGCCTCTCCAAGACGGACATCTGCATGTGTAACAACGAATTCATTTAGTGCGCACGATGTACGACGCAGCAGCGTCTACGACGTGGTTGCAAAGACTGCACATGTTCTCTACCTGATTGCGGCTCGCCTTCCACAAAATGCGTAGGAGCTACCGCAATCTGCCTAAAGCTTCCTGCTTTGTTCCGACAAAACAAGAACGTATAAGCAAAGCAACTTTACCCCCACTGGCGTATTTTGATCTGGCTCGTGCAGCAGCGGTTCATACCGGTTGGGCGAGAGTTCCTCTTATGCACCGGCCATATCCCATACCAGAGCCTCGCAGACAACTTTCAATGTCAGCAAAAGTACCAATCATGCACTAATGTTATTAAATCGGGGCCATGACCCCCTGTGCCCATTTGCTACGACGGTACACGCACGCACACTCAGAAACAAACGAACAAATAGACAGACAGACAGACAGACAGACAGACAAACGAACGGACGGATGAACGGACGGACGGACGAACAAACAAACAAACAAACAAACAAGCACACACACACACGGACACGCGAGCACGCACACGTGACGAGCACAAAGAAACGAACAATGCATGAGCTCCTTTACAACAGAAACCACCCTCAGAGTGGTGTGCATTTCCCCCTTCCCCCGACCGACCAATGGTATCCCGCCCTGGAGCCTTGACGGGCAGTGGACCGCCGCACGCACGGAGGGAAAATCCGTTTTGTTTCACAGGCGGGCGATATCCCGTTCCACAGGGCGGGCGGGCGCATAATTGACGTTGCGTATACATGGTGGTGCATGAAATTGTACATGTACCGACCCATTACAGAGAGAGAGAGAGAGAGAG